TTACACGTGCGAGTAGGCTTGATCGACATAAAAATAATATTTATAACAAAAAAAGTATACATTAGCATTTTTTTTAAAGAATTACAATTGGTATCATAGGCCGTTTTTATCGCACAAGTTAAGACTGACAAAACACTTATAACACTGAAAATGGAATTTAATGATTATTATCACTTGTGCGTCTATTTTGGGTTTTATATATTGTTAATTTGTTAAATATTATCTTTCAAAATTGAATTTAGAAACCATAACATACCAAAGAAAGGTAAAACCAATTGTTGTATCAATATATAGTACGAATATTTCGACCTAAATGGACAGTTACTTTCACAGCTACATTTATTCGTACCTTTGTGTTTTTGCTACATTTTTTTAATTAATTCCCCTTGTTCTCAGAGCTTTGAAGTGTCAGCAATGTGTAGCCGAGTCGAGTCCCCACGAACCTGCAATTTCAAGTTATAGAATACATAATAAATTTTGTAATTTTTTGTTAAGTGATGTACGGTCACCATCTCGTACAAGAAGTTGTCCGTACACAAAAACAAAACTTATTTCATATATCTTTCTTCTTAGATGTGTAAAGTAATGGGAAAATGAGGAAAACATCAAATCTCTACATCTTACGAGGTGTTGCTTTTGTTTTAATGACCTAATATTCAAAGCATGTCTGTCTGTCTGTAACTCCTCTCAGAATGTTCGACGCTCTGAATTATTGTAATTTCAGGGAACATTATAGGTTCACTGTTTACAAAAGATGTTATATATCACTGACAAATTGGGAGGGAACTCCATAGTTTATATAGAACGTGAGAATAGCTGCTTACATGAGTCATTTGGGGCATATTTTAGAAAATGGTGTCTTATTCTTCATTCAGGCGATATTAAGCCAAGGATCACGAGAAATGAAGATCCAAGTGAAGTGTCACTAATTAAAGTCAGCAGTACAGCCCCAATACGAAATGTCGGGGTTTGTTGGTTCGTTTTGTTTGGAGACACAGTCCGAACAAACATTCAGGAATGTTGGGATATTCCTGTAATGCAATTGTAATTTTTATTGATAATGGGTACTCAGCACTTAGAATTAGATGCAACATAGTATCGACATATCAGAGGTAGCAGTAAAAAGTAGAACATTTTTGTTGACAAAAAAAAACAATATAGACTGCATAAATGATAAAATATCTTGAAGTGAAACACTGGTAACTGTCGCGCATTATCTGTTTCTCTTTAGTTTGTAAAATATTGAATAAATTATCTGACTTATCAGTACATGATCAAATTCATTATCAAAGAAATGGGTTCAAATAGAAACCCCTTCTCAGCCTGAGTGTTGCATTTTTGCATTTCCTTTCAGAAAGTTCTATATGTGTGCGCTAATTCTAATTTTTTTCATGGACGATATGTAATTTTAATTTACCGTGTATTTCTAGATAATTTTCAAAAGAAACTTGATTTTTGAATTGAGGTATTGAGCATATACCCGTTTTTCTTGTCAGAATTTCGTATGGCTCACGATAAATATTTAACAACTTAGATGTTAACATCAGTACCAAAAGAACACGTCTAAAGAACGGGTCGTGGAGTATTTTAAGACCAGTGGAACCCGATAACAGTCAGATAGGAAGAAAACAGTTTTAATATTCCCAGAAAACATGCAGCAAATTTTGCAAGATGCTTTTTTGATTTACAATTACAAGTAGGAAGAAAGAAAGAAAGGAAGAAATGTTTGAAACAGATAATATCACGTTTCCAAATCAAGTACCAGAAAGAACTATTACCTTGAAGTTTGAAGAATCTAATTAAATGCCAAGTTTGCGTCTCTTTTCTACCTCCATGCGTAGACCAAGCACGAAAAGTGGAGAATTTCCAGATTCACAGGCTTGCTTGCCATTTCTTAATTAGTTGTCCTAAATTCAGAGAAAACACATTGAGTAACAAACGCAGAAACGACACACCCTAAAACGGGAGCGTCGATTCCTGTGTACATGGGTTTGAGTGTTTGAACATTCACTCACTAACATGAAGTTAGAGGGTAGTTGACCAACTAAGTATATGCATCTTATTTGACAAAGTCATGTATCCGGAAAACCACGTAATCCTTGCCATGTGCAAACGCTTCAGAACAGAATACGTATGTCTTCCACAAGTAAAAGGAGGATTGTTTGTAGTTGACGCGAGATAATATAGATCAGAGTTCTACATTGCAACCATGCATCATTCCATCAGAATAACACAATTTAGACATATCCGATAGTATTCGTTTATGATTTGCTACATTTGATTGGAATGGGAATACTGTAAAAATATTTCTTTTCACTGACATTTAATTTCACTAAATTGGTTCTTTTAACAGTATCGTTGGTTCATGTACTTGGCAGGGAAACAATTAATGTCATTCATTTGCATAAATATGCCGATTAAGTGTTCTTTATTCAAAACTCGTTAATGTTTTCATATGTGTTGCCATTTGAAGCAAAAATTAATATGGAAGACATGAAAATACCAAAATCAAAACATAAATGTTGGTGTTGGGTATAGTGTAGATAAATTACATTAATTTCTTTTTAAAATGCCAAATTTCATCTGCACTGTCTATACTAGAACATTGTACTATTATAGGTAGACTTCCTTGGCCTTCGTAATATAAAGGCTAAACTTCTCCCGGCCCATCGTATTTTAATAGTAGGCTGCCTTAGACCATCGTTTTATTATAGCTATACTGCCTCATATAGACATATTATAATGGGTAGACTGATACAAACTATGCGTAGACAATTATATGAACAAGCAATGTGGAGTGCTATTTATTGCAAAAATACAGAATGTAAGTATCCTCGGTTGCGGACATCCGGGCATTTTCACCGCCTGGCAACCTGGCGGCGGTGAAAACAAAGGCCCAAAACTCGCAGAAAACGGTACTTTGGAATGACTGTTGAGACTCCTCTGAACAGTATAACAAGATTAGCCCTACGTGTGTAACATATATAAATTTGGTTGTTCAGGATTACTTCAAAGTTGAGTTGGTGTTGTTTTCTCGAATTTTCACTCGGCTCGACCGGCGTTCCACAGCAGTGCGCACAGAGCCCATAGAAATGCATGTACAGTGGTGCGCGTCATAGCAACGTGGAACGTCTGTGACGTAGCTCCGCCCCCGAGGATACGAACCATATAGCTTGTAGGCAGAACAAAACGAAAATTATTAATCAGCAAACGCGCCACAGGAATAGAGCATGCGCATTTCATTCTACTTGTCGCCTCACAATCGCACAACAAATCAAACAGGCCATGGAATGTTGTATCTCGATACATATGCAGATGTTCGTGATGAGCACTGTTGTAACAGTAAATTGCGAGATAATGCTGATCAGTGAACGACATTTTCGAGAATAAGTTAAAAATAAAAGTCAATTAGTTTATTATTTGAGTTAAAAACTTATTCAATTTATTTCTCAATGAATATAAACAGTACTGTATCATACATGATTAAATGTAATACTTAATATTATACCCTAGTATAAATTTCACCTTTTATTTACAGTGGCGGTACTCTCTACATCCTTAATTGCACATATTTTATATTATTCAACATTAAGCTTGTAAATTTTACCTTGTCATTAAATATAATACATGCGTGGCATTATATGTGTGCAGGATATTATATGCAGTTGTGACGT